ATGTAATATATATATAGATATAAAAGTCATACAGGTCTGTGAAGCAGATGAATGTTCTTACACTCTGTAACTGAAACAGAGTGTAAAGAAAACTGAGGTACAAATTGTCATGGCTTTATAATGCTGTATTGGGTATAGAAAGCATCTCTCTATTAAGACATATTGGCATCCAGGGTGTGCAGATAACATGCAGACAGAACGTGCTTTTTCTTTTCTTTTTTTTTACAGCTTCCTTACTGCCGTTTCTTCCAGAGCTGGAAGAGATCAGCCTGTCCTGGAATGGTTGTGTTGGTGGGACTTTGAAAGCTCTCACTGTTCATCTTCATCATGTGAACCTGTTAAAAGTCCTTCGACTTAACAACTGCAGGCTGACAGCTGAGGATGTCACCTCCTTAGGTACAGGATTTCATTTACATTTACTTCCAGACAGCTTGAGTCTAATGTAATCCAACTCATCTCTTCCTACACCTACCCCTGCTGCTTCCACACTGGGCAATGTAAACTCCTGCTGTGAAACAGTAGGAAGAACCTGGGCTTATGAGTGATCTTATACATTTGAGGAGCTCTGCTGAGTTCATTCCTCAGGGCATGAAGGTTTCACATTCAGCAGGGAACAGAATTCAGTCCTATTTGCAGGAAAGCATGTTTTCAATTTGGATTAGTACTTTTTTTTTAGCTAGCTTTCATATCTAATGGTAGACAGAAGAACTGAAACAGAGTCAGTCATAATAGGGTCACCTTAAGTCTTCGTGCTGCAGGACAGATGCAGTGCTCAGCACAAAAAAATGGATGGTGTTTTGGAGGAGACTTAAAACCAGTGCTGAGTTGGAGCTTTATAATTTGTTTTTGCAAGTCTGGGAGAAGCATATTCCTCTGGGTACTTGTTTGCTTGGAGTGCCTGCAACCCTGCTTTCTGCAAAGCATGAGATTTAAAGGTTTTAAAGGTGGTGTTGTGTACTCCGGTTCTGAGTCACTTACCTCTGGACCTGGAGTTTACTCGGGGTAGGTCTGTGATACGTGTCTAAAAGAAGGGCAAACTCAATCAACTAGGAATTCTAAAAAAAACCTACTGCTTATTTAACAAGTTCTAAAAACTGGTCTGAGTTATAAAGCTGGACTTTATTTCATTCATATCAAGGGTTTTTCCAGGAAAGGTTCATAAATAAAATTACATATATGATGGTAGCTCAAAAGTAGGTCATGCTATCTGTTGGGGCGGAAAAATACATCTCTAAAAAAGCTGGTGAAAATAATTGGTCTATTCCTGATGAGGCTAAAACCTGTGTTTCATTTTCTATCAGATTTTTTCAAATTTATTTCATTCTTTTTCAAACACTTTTTTCATACTTTTTTTCTCTTGAGTTTTATTGGTTCTATTTCCAACTGATTTATTCTGCCTGGTTCTTCTGTGCTCTTTCCTGCCTCCTTCTGGCTTGGCCTCTGCTGAGACAGACACAAAACTGATCACAGGACTTGAATTTCTAGTCAAAATGGAAAATTCCCTTGACATGTGGAATAGTAACAGTCAGTTTGCATTGATTTTGCCTGTGATTTTGGAAATAGCATGCCTATTTAGGCCAATACTGCCTGTTTGACTATGATGTCCACATCTATCTGTGGAAATGTGGTCACTTGTGGACTCAGTGAGTTCTTTTTAGAAATCAATACCTCAAATATAACCATAATATCAACTTCTCCTATGTGATTGCTCAGAGCTGTGACTGCAAGAGGTGGTAGGAAACCATTCCTGGAGTTATAGTCCTTTATTTATCTTCTGGGTGGAAAATGTGTCTGGAATGCCAGTCCCCATGTCAAATAGAAACAGGCTATGCTGCAGAGGCAAAACCACTTCTCAACTGTAGTGCATTGCTCAGTATTCAAGACTGAGGCAATAATTTAAAATAAATGCAAAAATAAAAATTAAGACATGTCCTTTTCTCTCAAACGTGGATATTCACTTACAAAACCAGAAATAATTATTTTTCTATTGTAAATCTTTTGTGAAGAATTAATTATGAAAACACACAGACATGAAAGGGTTTTATTATTAAAATATAATTGTCAGTTATTAGGTTGATGACAAGACTTTAGATCAAAAATTTGTGTATGACACTTTGAAATTGCATTTGCATATGGTCTGATTAATTGATTGTTCTCGGGAATGAGTTTATGCAAATGTACATCTACCTCTCTCCTCTACAAAGGAAGTCAGGAAGCTGGATTTTTGCAGTGGGATGTTAGTATTACAAAGAAGCACTAACAGTTGACATTTGCAGGTGCATCAAGCCTGGATAAGGCCAATTTTTCTGAATCTAAAAAAAATCAGTGCTGTCTGCCTTGAAATCATGGGAAAGTTAGTTTGGGTTAAAACAATGCTCATCTTGATTCCTTATGAAGTGAGTCAGAAATGAAACTTTTAAGTTTCAGAAATAGCTGTGAGAGGACTTCTTTCATCTCCTCCAAAATGACCTGTGGACACAGTGCAGAGGCTGTTGGAATAAAATAGAGCAGAACTATACAGGACAGTAAATTCAAACTTGTCACTTGTATTGATTTCCCTATAGACTAGACTTTCTGGGTCCTGGCACAGGTCTACAATGATGGCCAAGCAGTCTGTGTGTGCTGTGACAATGACTTGTGATCTATATTGATCCTTAGACAAGGTGAGAATTTATACAACATTGCTGCAGTAGCAACAATTCATGGCATACACTGATTTTCCTGGCAAGCCATACGAAATATAATCATTTGAGAATTAAGTGGCTAACCTTCCCCTTTAATATATCCAAAACTTCTATTTTTGTCTTGCACCAAAATTGATACCTAGAGTGGATCATCTTAGCTTCTGTTACAGGAGAGGCATTTGAAATTGTTCCTCAACTTGAAGAACTGGATTTATCATGGAACAGTAACATAGGTGGAAAACTATCACTCCTGACAAAAAAACTCCAGAAAGGATGCAAGATAAAATTTCTGAAAATTACAGACTGTAACCTCACGGCAAAGGATGGAGAATCCCTTGGTATGTGTTTCCACATAGCTAGACTGAGAAAGTGGCTTCACAGAAATGTCCCTTGTTTGACTTACTTAGATTATGGCTGTATTGAGCTCAAATTAGTTGAAAGTTAATTTATTTCAGGCTCTGCATTATAATGGTATTTACCACACAGCATTGGGATTTTATGCACTTCCTTCCAAAGATGAAAGTTCTCTCTTACCATGTGAGGTGGGGTTGAGAAGAAGAATAGCTAGAGCTAAACCACAGTCTGGCGGCCTCAGTGGTCCATATTTGCTTGGATGCTTTGAGACCCTGAGCAAGTCACGTGTGCCAGAATTTCCAACATTCATTGTTTAAAATTAAGCAGCTGAATATGTACTTTGCCATGGGATGGGAAGGAAGGCCTGAGGGATGGGAATGTAGGCTGAGGGCAACCACTGAACACCCCTCCCCTCTTTCCTCACGCTATAGCCTAATCCTGTGTTGTCTTTTGATCTGATTCTGAGGTTTAAAAGATATTTTCTCCCTAAAGACAAGCCCCTGTGCTCTCATCTCCACTGCATAAGATGGCCCATATGCAACATACAGTCCTATATCTTTTCATTAGAAATTTTTATTTCTCTTTGTATTCCTGCTTTTTATTCCCCTGTATTTTTATTACTGTCCTTGTGTTTTTCAGCATTATTTTCATACAGATTTTTCACTGATTTTGTTGATTCCTATCGAATCCTTGTTTTGCTGTATTTTTTAGGTAAAACAGGAACTTGGTAAGTCTAAACCACACATATAGGCTTACCCAGCCTACCTCTTCCTGTTTGTCATGATGCTATATTTCTCCAGGGTTCATCTGTATATATTCCAGACATTTACCAATTCTCTTTTTCTTTTTTTCCCAGCTGAAATTCTAAATGTGATCCCAAACCTCGAAGTATTAGATCTCTCTATCAACAAACACATTGGCTCCAGCATGAAGGTTATTGGTCAGGATCTGAAAAATGTTCCAGGCTTGAAAGAGTTGAACTTGCACATGTGTGGATTAAAGCAAGACAGCCTCCAGGGCTTAGGTTAGACTTTATGTTCAGAAAGACTTTCATTCTGAATAAATTGTACATCTGAAAACCATTTAAGAAAGGCAATGAGGTGGGATTTTGCTGATGGTTTGGCAGTATTAATGGGCAATCGTTATTTGCTGTTTGAGGATTGATAAAAGACTACAGAGACTTTCAGCAGGAGTAGCATTTATCTTCCCTGAGCTCAAGCATGTGAAAGTCAGTGGGGAGAGTCACCCTCCACACCATTTATCTGAGACACATCTCAGGGTAGATTAATAGCTCTCTGGACATCCTTCCTCTCTCCCCAGACAGAACATAGACAAGGGCACAGACATGCTAGCTCACTTTTAACAAGCTAATCCTACTCTCAGAGGGGAACCCAAATTCACCATTAGCACTTAATGAGTGTCCAGTGAAGCCATATGAAATGGGCTTATTATCTGTGTCTCTCCCTAGTGGAGGTCTTATCCACAAGACAAAACAACTGGCACTAATTAGCACATCCAGTAGTAATTTCGGCAAAAGGCTGAGGACTGAATGGATCTAAGGGATGAGCTGGCCTCACCTTCACCTGCTCTTTCAGAGAAGAATGGAGTTGCATGGATGGGAAGCTTTGCGGTATTACTGTATGTCTGCTGTGATTATATGCTGAAGCTTAGTCTAAGAGCTTTGCCTGCAATACCTTGTGCAAACTTTGACATTAAAGTAAATAAACGCTAAAGCCATGACCTGTGCTATTGTAGCAGCTGGTAACCAGCAGGCTCCCTTTTCCATTTCAGATGCTGCTTTACAGCACCTTGCTGGGTTAAGAAAATTAGACATATCGTGTAACAAAGAAATTGGTGGTGGCTTTAAATACTCAACAGCTCATTTGGCCAGCTTGAAAAATCTCGAAGTCCTTGATCTCCACCAGTGCTGTGTAACAGAAGAGGACGTGACCATTTTGTGTAAGGACACGTTGAGGAAATCCGTTAAGAATCTAGGTTGTGACTTCTGAAAATATCTCAAAAGCATAAGAGATTCTATCTATCTAACCTAGTCTAGCAGATCTCAGCACATTTTCATTAGGCAATTCTGGAAGTGCAGTGTGGAGGATGGCTTTCTTGATCAATACAGAATGGGTTTTTTGCTGTATCAAAGGAAATCTCATAGTGTCTGATCACATGTGGAGCTAAGGAACTGAATACTCCATGATTCAGACCCATGATGGGAATGTAGTACTGCTTTTTTCGATAATCAGTAATTTTGGAAATATCCAGGGACAGTTTCCCCACTGGTATAAACTGGCACAGATCCAAGATACATATGTGCGTGTAAATGTAACTGCCTAAAATTCCCTTGGTGAACTTTAAGTCAAGTAGAGAGTGATGTTAGGAGATCTTGCATTGCTGCTGCTCTGTGCTTTATAGAAAAACTGAAGACTACAGTCTCCAGGATGAATGGATCCAACTCATAAATACTATTGGGAAGAAAAAGACATTTCCCATTCAATCAGTGAGAAAGATTATTTTCCTGTGTGCATTATCATAACTTTTTGACATTGGTTTTTACTCTTTAGAACAACAACAACAAAAAATCCCATAACTCAAACCCTATATTGCCCACATCTTATTTTCCATGATAAAGCAAGCCATTTGAAAAGCTGCTGATGAAGCATTGGGAAGTATTAACTATTAGTAATAGCAATAATGATTTATTTTTAATTTCTTGACCAATAGAGAGTAATAATATTAACATAAAGGAGTTTCAGTTAGCAGTGAAGACATTTGGAAATAACTCCCATCTCATTTAATGTTAAATTCCCTACTTCACCTAGAAAATTTCAACAGAAAGCCGTGTTCTGACAACCTTCCACACAGTATGTAATACCTAATTTCTTAAACATTCCCACTGAAAATGACAAGGCTATTTATGGTCTAAAGCATTACTCACTGCAAATTTGAGTGCCAAAACTTGGCCTTGACATTTGGATTGATTTATAAAGAAAAGCAATGACCTCAGGCAAATATAAAACTACATATTTGTTCTGGATTGGTGACTGTCTAATAAATATTTCATGTTTTATAGCCCAGGTGATACCTTTACTCTCCAGTCTTCAAGAGCTGAATTTATCCTCGAATAAAAATGTAGGAGTCTCATCTGATCCTCTTCTGGGCAGGCTCAGGTTTTTACCAAAGTTGAAATCTGTGGCCATCAGCAATTGTGGTTTGGGCAAAGAGTCATTTTCATTACTAGGTAGGAATGTTTTTTTAAAGTGTGTCTATTCTCTGTGTATCCTTGTGGGACAAAGCACTTCATTGTCCTCTGGCTGAACTCCAAAGATCATGGTTACATTACACCACAGGTCCCGACTGAAAAAGCCTGTAAGGAAACTAGTGCTTCATGGGACCTGGTTGCAAGGGAAGACTGTTGTATGTTTTCCCCCATTATACCTGGCTGGATGAAGTCCTTTTAGTCCTTTGACTGATAGAGAGCTTTTGAATACTCCCTAATTTTGGAAGAGAAAGCAAAACATGATTTCATATTATGCTGTAATTGTAGTTTGGTTGTAACACTGCATTTGCAGTTTAGCGGGGCAAAATTTTCACTGAATGTTTTTCACCTCACTGCAGGTGAAAGTTTCAGTAGAACTTTCTGGGATAGAGTTGAGCATAGGGCAGTGGAGGAATAGGGGAAAAGGTATTGCACAGCCAAGAAGAAAAGTCCAGTCTAACACAGGATATGTAAATTCAGCCTCTTTTGCCTACTTATTGCAAATCTCAGTGGATTAGCGGCTACACTATCCCTTTGATAGGCGTTCCATATGGCACAAGAAATCTAAGTACAGGGGGACCTGTTAGTTACTGTGTATTGTGCACTTACTTACAATATATTTTGTACTGTTTACTAGTGACATTGAAACCTATAGTAAAACTTGACTGCCTTCAGCAGAAGCAGTAGCAAGCTAAACTGGTCTGAGGTCCCTGCAGGAAGACTACTATATTTATATCATTACAATTATGTAAGAGTGACATCATGGAAATTGGTGTTGTCAAAAGATACAGAGCATTTCACCTTGCATAGTGAGTTCACAGCAAAAAATTGGTGTCTTTAAATTGATATAAAATAGTTTAAAAACAAGCTGTTATATTAAATTGACTTCAGTGGGACAAGGTCAAGCAAATAACGTAAACAGAAAGACAAGAAACTTCTCCACAGAGTCCTTAAAAATTCTATAGACAGGCCCTTCTTATATTCTTTAAAGAGCACAGGAGATATTTTTTGACTGACTTTTATTAGGATAAAATAAGTTATTCCAAGCACAAGTAGGCAGCCTGTTAGGAGCCTATTTACTGGTGAATTGCTGGTGAGATGTCTATTGAGGCCATGTTGTTTTCTCTTAGTAAGCAGAAGTTGCTGGTCTTAATCTTTTCAGCCGAGGCTGCCCTTCACCTTCCTGAACTGGAGATATTAGACCTTTCTTGGAATAAGTGCGTTGGTGGGAACCTAAAGCTGCTTTTGGGAACACTAAAGCTTGCAACGGAGATTCAGGTGTTAAGACTGAGCAGCTGTAACTTGGTGGCTGAAGATTTGGCACTTCTAAGTACGTATAACATGGTATTTACTAGCAGTCAAGGAGCCAGGGCATTTAGACCACAATTCAGAAGGGACTTGTTCCATGGGTTGAGCACGTTTTTGCATAAATCAAATTAAATGATGGAAAATACAGCAGTATTTTTCCCAGAAAGGGTTTTCATTTTGCTGAAGACTGTCCCCCCCCCGTACATCCACAGTGCAAAAGCTGCAAAGGATAAAAATGCAAAGAATTTTTTATCCATTTTATCTATTAATATAAAAATGCAGCATTTAGAAAATGTAGCTTTTGCATCTGTTTTTTATATTTTTATATTATTTAAAGCTCTGAGGACTTTTATTTTGCTCAGTTGCTGGTTTTGGGTTCAGTAATTTATGGGAAATGTACATACTGACAGCCAGTAATACAGGCACGACCAGCTCTCAGTCCATTTGGTGTATTTCTGGAGTCAAACTATTATGGGAGAATTAAAACAGAAATATTTTAGCCCACCTCTTAGCAGCTGCTGAGAAATACTGGAAAACAGGAACCCAACAAAAGAATAAATACTAGGATCCTTTTAAAAACCTGGCTATTTTATAGTCATTCTTGTGATTCTATGGGCCTGACTTATGGGTTTGGAGTGTCTGAGATTGGCAATAGCTGTGTAGCAGCTGTTAAGGCCCTGTCATCTGAAGGCTGGTGAGATGAAGCCTGAATATTTTTGACTTTACAAACATTACCCTTGATGGGTGTCTCCTTTGCCAACCATATATTAAGGATTCTAGTTCCCTTTAGGGTGTATTAGGCCCATTACCCTCCCACAGTGAGAGGTGGCTGTTGTAATTATGCAACCTCATCTAGTTTTGCTTTCCTCTTTCTAAATCTCCCTGTAAAGCCTGTCTGCCTCTTTTAGTTGGCACTTGATAAGACCTCCTTCCAACTGACTCAAATGTTTTCAGGTTGCCATACAATTTTAATCTGATATTTCTGTCCCTTTTGAATTGCCTGTGTTTTAAATGTTGTACACTCCTTCAGCTGTGATAAAACGTTCTTTCTGAGGTTAACAGCCAGTGATTCTATGTTGCTGAGGAGTTGAATCTTTGACTGCTGAAAGGCCTTAAATAATATGGTATTATTTTAAAAGCCTTTAAAGCAATTGCCAGGATGTATTAGCTGTGTTTGTGTCTGTAATTTCTTGCAGCGTCACTGACGCAGGATGGTCATCTAGCCAGATTACGGAAGCTGGATTTGAGTTACAATAACAACATCTCTGATGAAGGGTGGGTCATTTTCTGTCAAGGCTTAGCAGTATTCAAAGAACTCTCCGAGCTGGATGTCAGTCTTCGTCCATCGTCCTGCCGTGACTGTGGGACGTGGTTCAGCGAGTTGTTAGCAGCACTGACAAAGCTGCCTGCCTTGGCAGAGCTGGGGATGCAAAGATGGGTCCCTTCGGAATCACAGCGGAAACGACTGGAAAGCTTTAATCAAGACAACAAACGAAACATTCGTTTTGACTGTTGATGGAGATTGAAGGTTTCTGGAAGGCCTTTCACAAGCAGGACATGAACCAAATACTATGTGTCTCTGACTTAGAAGACTACCCAGTTTTTACTAATCTCATCTCATGAGAGCTCTTGAAATAGTTCCACAATTACAGAAAACTGTTATTTAACTTCTGCATGTGTAGATCATTACATTTAATAACATATTCTTTCAGATTCTGTGGGCCATGCTTACTCTACAAGGTACGCTTAATCTTCGTGTTGTGAATACTGTCAAAAGAGCAATCATGATTTCATATGGACACACTGCAGGTTTGCCGATGGAGGGAAGTAGCCGGGGTGTGTGCAGCTGGGTGGGCAGTGTGAATGTGGCCTCATGTACATAATGAAAATGCCTCTAATTTGAAAATACTTGAAAGCTCTACATTTTAAAATTTATTTTCTTCTCCCTCAAAACTTTTGTCTCTCTGTGAATGCATTAAATCTGCATAACCGTGAGATTTGGAAAGCATCCCAACAACTCAGGATTGTGTATTAGTCCAGTAAGGAGAATACAGAAGGAGCTGTTCTGCCTCTGCACTGGCCCTTGATACTATCTTATAGTGTAGATGAGTCCTGTGTACAGAATCAGCATAAAATCAAGGTAAGAAACAGTTGATTGGTATCTTTGCAGGTCTCAGGGGCAAGGGAAATGCTGTGGTAGGTTAAATCAGAGATATGTCCTGCTACCTTAGCAAGGATTTTGGATACAAAACTGTCTATAAGCGTTCTGGATAAGGCTATGAAAAGACTTTAGGATATGATACTTCGGGGATGCATCCTGAACTGTTTCAGCCTTACCAAGACTGCACTTTCTGTACAGACCCTTTTATGACATCCAGCATGAAACCAAACTTCCAGACCTAAGAGTCCGATCTAGAACATATGAAAGCCAGTGGGAGTCCTTGCAGTGCCTTGAATGCTTCCTGCATTCAAGATTAATCCATTAACCTTCACAACACCTTGTGACATAGACAATGTTCTTATCCTTACCTTAAAGATGAAGGAAATAAGCAAAGTCTATTACTCAAAGCCACAGGGCAGCTTCTAGTTAAGAGCAGAGCACCCTGCTCTGTGCCCAGGACTTGTTAGAAAAAGCACCAGCTTGGGACATGTAAGTGGCTCCTCCTTTTTTTATTTGATAATTTCTTACTTGGCATTTTATTGTAGTTGCTTACACAGAGCCAAATTCTGGCCTAGTCACTCGTGTCATGGAGCATGTTAACCCACACGTGAGCTCAAAGACTGCAGTGGGATTATTCATTGCTAAGGTATTTTAGGAAGTAAAGATATTAGATCTGCCCACTGAGTGAGAAGTCTTAGACAAATCCTGAGGCAGCTTGAGGGATAAAGTACTGCTCAATTAGCCCTGAGTATATCTACATGCTGCCATCAATCTCCTGGAGGAGAGGCACAACAGGATCATTCAGTGGCAGTTTCCTAACTTGCTAGGACCCCTCTCAGCAAGTTGTCCCTTGCAGATGCAGATCAATATTCAGCTTTCAGTCTGGGTGACCCTTCCAACATCAACTGGCTGGTCAGGGTTATAACCACCAGCTGACCATGCCGTGCTGATACCTCTTGATCATTTAATCCATGATTTCATGTGAGGGTCTCCATGGACTTCCTGGTTCCAGTTTCAGTTCCACTTGAACAGTGCACTTGGCTCCCACATCTCTGAGAAATGTGAAATGAACTGGAGTGTCTTGGTCAGAGGTAGCAGGGAATTGCTGCAGTGTGGGATCAGTTATTTTCTGCAGAGATCCTCAACCTCTGAAATGAAGCAAAGAGCCCCTGTTTCATACAGGGCTAAGAAGAGAGACTTTCAAGCAGTGACTCAAGCCAGGAGAGTTGTTCTAATGTGGAAATACCATCATCTCTGTTTAACAGCAACACACCAACCTCTTAATCACTTGCTTTCCTGTGGCTTTCCTCCTCAAATCTGCCTTTTGTTCAACTGGGAAATTGATCCTTTATCTGTTCTCTCTGAATCGCTCCTTTCCCACTTGAACCTCTCCCTCTAATTCAGTAAAACAGCTGGCCCATGTTTAATTCCAGTATCTGTTGTAATCTTACTGACTGATCTGGACATCAGTATTGGGGTTTCTTGATTTGTTATGGTCAAGTTCCTCATTCTCAGCTCCAGAGCACAGTATGGACTCGCTGCTAGCAACATCTCCACTTGCTGTTCATGATCCTCCTCTCAGTCCTTTGTCCTCTCATGATGCTGTCATATCTATTGTGCCACTAGAAAGCTTTTATTAAATCACTTCTGCTAAATGTCCTATCTGTCAGTCTTCCCAGAAATCTCTCTCTCCCAGTGATTTCCTCCTTGGTAGTCTCTGAATCATCCTTCTCTCTATTCTTCTTTGCCTTCACTTAGGGTGAAAAAAATTCATAAGACACCTCTAAACAATGAAAACAACATCAGTTACCTAGTAAAATGGAAAACCAAAACCGAACCATCCCACTTTTCTGCACTCCTAGCTGTCTCCTGCCGACAAGCACATAAATGAGACTTCAGTATCAATTGATTCAAGAGCCAAACAGAAATAAGATCCATATCCTGGATGCAGATATAGCTGCAGCATTCAGAGAGCACTACCTGGAGGTGGAGCTCTAGGAAGAGCTGGGTCTCAGTGACCCTGCCTTCACCACCACCCTCAGGATGCCACCACCTTCTCTGAGGCAACTCAGACAAGGGGAGGGAGAGCAGGACTGCAGTTCCAAACAGCCAATTAAACTAAATAAAGGGTTCTGCTCCCACCCACTTGGGCATTTTGGATCTGTACAGTGGCTGGTCCCAGTCCAGCACTCTGCTTTATGTATGCTGTAAATAAAACTTCAGAGGGATTTAAGGAGTAATTGAGCAATACAGAATGAAAACTAGAGAAGGACATCAGTGTCTAGGACAAACAGCTATCTGTAAAGTGCTGTGGGAAGATATGGTCGCATATAAATTTGGTATGCTAGAATTATAGTAAGGAGTGTTTGTCATGGTTCTTTTGAATAACAAAGGTGTTATGACATGCCAGGACCCAGAATCATTGCTGGATATTGTGTTCTGCAGACTCTGCTTTCAAATAAGCCTGTCATACACAGGTGTTTTACAAAGCTATCTCACCAAGCTATCTCAGAGATGAGCTATAACACTAAGGATTTGACAGCTTGCAGTCATTCAAAATACTATAACTACAGATTGTCAAAACATCAGTGAACAGTTTTTCAGAAGTGTAGAGATACTTTCAAAACAGCTTTTTACACCTCTGTTAGACAGGATGGTAATGCAAGTTCTGGTAGAAGTGCATATATCCTGACTGCCTGGAATCCTCCTCCATATTTCCAAACAAGGTACTGATCATTTCTGAATGTAAAACTCATTAAATAACTGCTACTAGGTGGGGCCACAAGTATTGTTTCACTCTAGATATGGCTGTACCTCACTGACAGGAAAACAGATTTCTAAGAATTGCATGTAAAATACTTTGGGATTCAGAACAAAGAATGCTTCATTGCACCAGATTCCTACAGATTAGATTAATTAGCAGTTAATCAACTGCCTTTATGTTTTGAGATAACATGCATTCAGAATGAGACATCTTAAGAATATTTCAGAGTCTGCCCGATTCAGCTGGAGTCAATGTTGACAAAAAAACAAAAAAATAATCTGTTTTCATTGTAACACTTACTGATTCAAATGCTTTAATACTGCTTGTCTCCTACTCACTTATCTCTGCTCACATTTGCCCTTCTTGTAAATGAAAAGAGCTCTGTGCAGTTTACTGCCCAAATATCACTTTTTGGCTTTTGATCCTTTTACAGGCTTCTCTTTTCCCTTTCCTTTTTCTTTCTTTTCCTTCTTTTCAATCTCCTGGTTTACCAACCCACGCCACAAACTTTGGATCTGAAAAAGAGAGAACATCAATCTGGTTACCTGGAGGAAAAGGGTAAAAGCGAACAGTCATGTGGAACAGTATTACTGGTGGATATTCTTGATGCAAAAAGCCAGGCACACTGTGGTCTCCAAAACCCTTTTATTCTGTATTAGACTACATTGTTTGCAGCTAAGATGATAGACTGCCAGCCACCTGACTTTTCTTTTACTCTGTGTGTTATTTTTTTCAAGAGGAATTTCTTACCAGGGAGAACACTAACACTGTAGACCCTTTGATCAGAGTAGTAAATGACTATGCATCTTTAAATGTCACCTTTTAGTTCAGAAGAACAGCTTGGGAGAAACACAGTAGCTCATGAAGAAATTACAGACATTACAGAAAGAGAATAATAACTTAGGTTCAGAGGAATCAAAGACTGAGTATTTGCCTTTCCTTCCTTTGTGCTCTATATTTTTTCTGAGCAAATTAATTCCATGGCACACTGGTGACACAGACTGATGTTCTTTTGGAAAAAAAAACAAAACAAAAACAAAAAAACAACACACAAAAAATGTGTTTTGTTCAATGTGTTTGCACAACGGATCTTCAACTCTCTACAGTGAAAATACAGTCAGCAAGAGTGAAGATGCCACCTGCAGTTATTTTCATCTTTAAGCAATGCCTTGACTTAGAGGATCTGCCCCAGTTTTAGACACGCTAACCGTTCCTGTTCCACTGGACAAGGAACTACGGAACACTCCACTGCAAGTTGTAAGGGCTGTTCTGTGCCTGATGACTGTGACCTGGTGGGGCATTGACAACCTTCTGCAATATTTTTGAATGATGCCCAGTGCTGTATTTCCTGATGGTTCCCTATCTCCTACCTTAATGTGATGAGTGATAGAAGTGCTGCTCTGCCACAGCTGATGCAAATGGTGGTTTATGATGTTTTTGATGTTGCATAGAGTGCCCTGTAGGTTGTTCTGCAAAGTATTACTAAAACCACAGCTTTGTATGTATATTGTGGTGACTTTCTTAACACCCCTACCTTTAATTTCTTGGCCTTTTTATGTCTTTTTTCCTGTAAGTATTCCCAGATGGCAGATGTCCCCTGACAGCACACTTCAATCGGAGGATCTGTCATAGGGTTCCCTTCCACACAGACCAGCTCCAGCTGCTGAAGACTGTCCAAATCCTCGGGCAGGTGGGACAGCTGATTGTTCTGAACAAGCAGTTTTTGCAAACCTGAACACACAAAAGCAAACAGCTGCAACTCAAAGAACAGATTATGTGGAGCATTCCTGCATGCTCCCCATGAACAGGACATGGATGAGGCACAAACAATTCAATCTCTGCATGTAATGAATGTGTGTGTTGAACGTGTCACCAGAGTGTTTAAAATTCAAAGTATCTGCTCCCAAATATAGAAAAATGGGACTCAGGCTCTCCTAGCAAAGCATTTCCTTCACTAGGTGAAGACTATTCACCTGGTAGCCAGGCGGCCAAATTCAGCTTTCAAAAGTCCTGCTACTTGGCACACTAGCAGTGCTAGTGAACTTAGCCACACAGAGATGCAATGGAGAACTGGGAAAGATGGAAAGATTGGGCTGGGGAGCACCCCCAGAGAGCCAGTTCCTCACCAGCCCCCTGGAGTCACTGGTGCTGACCCAGTGGGTCTTCTCACATCAGGGGGTCTGCTTTGAGCTGAGCTCTGGGAAACATCTTTTTTCCCCTGACCCTGAGGTTGAGGTAGGCCATGGGTGAGGACCTCTGGTCCACTTGGCTTGGGTACAGCGCTTCCCCCACCCTCCCAGTCCCTAACTTTCATCCTATTTGGCTCCCTTACAACTTCAGGATGAGTCCTGAACTGCATTCCTTCCTTCCCTTGTCTCCCTCCTTCTTCTAAAATGCTTACTGGTACTTGTGTCTTAAAGGCCACCACCACAATGACTATTTTTCACCTTGTATTTGGCATAGACAGTCTGGGAGCTGTTTAAGGAGATTGTTGTGACAGTCAAGTATTTTCAAGTGGGTCAATAAGCTGATGGATGCAGGCAGGTACTCCAGAAAATTATTCTCCATATGCAGTTCTTTCAGATTCTGGAAAATATGTGTGCATAACTTTTAATAATTAAAGGATTTTTCCTTAGCTTGATATATAATCCATGTACAGAGAATATCAGTAAGTGCAGAAGTAAGGTTTATAAACTGAGATACCGTTGGGATGACTACTAAACACAGAGAGACAACACAACATGAGTTTCAAATACTGAGTTTTGATATTATTCCTGTTCTGACAGCCCTGGCCTGATGCTGCACCATGTACCTAAAGAGATTAGGAAACCTTCAGTCCTGCATTTGGGAGCAGCTGGTCTATGGAAGTGCCATGCCGCAGCAGACCAAGATCTTCCCCCTTCTATTGCTCCTACCTGCAATTTGCTGACGTCTTCTGGCAGACTTGTGAATTTAATTCCTTTATTTTGTCCCAGATATAATCTCTCTAATGACTCCAGGAGAAAGATTTCCTTTGGAAAGATACTGAATTGGTTTTCAGACAGGCTAAGGCATTTCAAATTTGTCAGTTCTTTCATCTCCGCAGGTATCTAGACACAGTCATTAAAAAGATACATTATGTCAATTAAACAGTAATCTTTGGGATTTTGTTTTTAGGGAAAAATCTCTAGGAAAATGTTGTGGTGCTGCATTACTGCTGATGGATGAACACAGAATATTCTGCTCATTAATATAACATTATACCTCACAGTATGGTGGAAATTTTGGCAAAAAAAGCCAAACAAGGAAACAAGCCATGTTGTTTCCTCTGCTGGAAAGATTTCTTATGGGGTTAATTTTATTATGTAGCAGAAATATTAGTCTGCTTCTTCATTTCCTTTGTACGCACAGTGCAGGGAAGAATCATTTAAATGAATGAAATCTGAAAGTGATTCTTTTGCATGAATTACTACTTCTGTCAATGTAACCTTCAAGAAGAAAATTGCACAAGTGAAAATCTCCTTGGAAAAGAAGCGTTGCATTATATAAAAAGGAAGGTGTATTCTGAGCCCTAAAATGAGTGTGTCTGTGAATACTGTTACACTTAAAATAGCACAGCTTTAGGGTACCTAATTGTTCATTATCAAATGAACAGCAAATTTTAATGGTATTAAAGGCATTAACAATACCACATCCATTTTTAAATAATTGCCCTCTGCTCTGTTTCAGTTTGTGAGGTATTGATTCTACACAAATGCCGCTCTTATTTTCCGGTGTACACAGAAAAAAAAAGACGCAACAAGACTGCAGCAGTCCCTCCAGTCAGTATTTCATCTTTATCATTCAGCACAAAGGTCAGTGTTTCCACATTCTTGCCTTTTTCTCCCTGCCTGAATACTCAGATGTCAGTGATAATGAGTAACCCAGGCTGAGGTGCATACCAGGTGGAACATGCCTTTTCACAGTAATAGGGAAAGGTGGCACTCAGTTGTAATGGAGAACTTAGATTTTGCAAAAGGGAGGTATGAATAAACTGAAAATGAAAACAAAGGAACAAATACCTTCTGTATCTGATTGCCATCCAGGGCCAATACTTCCAGATTTTTCATAGTGCATATTCCTTTAGGAATCTCATCAAAGCAATTTTCACTCAGATCTAGTATCCTGACACTGGTTAATCTGGTGAAGGACCCAGGTACTGTGCGCAGCCCGGCGTTGCTCAGATAAACACGAGAAAGGGATGGCCAGCAGCAGATCTGCTGTGGGAACTTTTCCAGGCTGTTAGCAGACAGTCTGAGTACACTCATTTCAGTGAGATTCTTCAAACCTGGGGGAAGCTTGTGCAGGAGATTATGAGACAGATCCAGCACAGCCAGCTTCTGGCAGCATCGCAGTGTAGGAGGAATGGAGGATAAGTTATTAGAAGCTAAAAATAGCTTAACTAAGTTTGTCAAAAAGCCTACCTCTTCTGGAATGAGACTTACTAGATTCTGTTCCAGATCTATTATTTCTAAATTAGCAAGTTGACAAAGCTCTTTGGGAAAATTTTCAAATCTATTTTTCTGGAGGTAAATTTCCTTGAGTTTTGTCAGGTTCACTGTTTCTTTAGGCAGACATTGTAGATTATTGTCAGAAAGGCCAAGCAGTTCAACATGATGGAGGTATTTACAGATCTGCACTGGGATTTCATGCAAGTTTGTTTTATAGAGCCTGAGCTGACGGAGGGACTGCAACTTGCTGATAACTGGCAGTGAACTGCAGGAGAGGGGATTGTTACTTAAATCTAAGCTCAGAAGACATTTCAGCTCCCCCAGTTCTTCACATATGTCCTGTATGTGATTCTGATCCAAGTAGAGGATCTTCATGTGCCTCAGGCGATTGATGTCCCTGGGAATGCTTACAATCAGGTTCTTTTCCATGTGCAGCTCTTCCAGATATTCTAGACTCAAGACCTCTGGCGAGATGGTTCTCAATTGCTTATTAGCTAAATCAATAAAATATATCCTGTCTGTGACACACGTAGGAAAAAGAGCTTCATCCCCTGGCTCGTCATTCACTGGTATTTGTGCAGTCTGATCGCAGTCATCCTCAAAACCAACAGAGTCAGTTTTGGGGCAGTGAGTGCCCCCTGTGCTGGCCTCCTGGCTCTGCTGAGACTCAGACATCTCTGCTCCTTGTTTTTAATTTCAGAAGAGAAAAAAAATTAAAAATCAACAGTACTCAAAGACCTTCCTATGCTAAATAAATACTGGAAGAGTTCAGCATTTAGGGACAGGTTCTAGTCTCAGTGGTACACCTGCAAAAAGCTGCTTGTGTTCACTGAGATCAAAACCCGCAACACATGCAGGGGGACCATAGGCTTGTATCACAGTGCATCCCGAAGTGCCCCAGCAGCCAAATTCAGAAGGTGACCTTGTGGAATCAGGGGAGTTGGATGAAGCAACCTCCTTGAGTCTCAAAGGCCTGTATTTACAAACACTGACTGAGACCTGGCTTCAGCGATGCTGATTGTAAAACTGCAAGAGTCTTACTGTAAAAAGGTGGCACCTTGTTCTATAACTGCATGGTTTCTGAGCCAGAGAGATGCCAGCGAATCTGATATTTGACAACCCTCGAAGCTGTACTATTGCAGATAGTGAAGGACCAAGAGGTGTAAAGGGGCAACTCTCCGAACAACCTCTGATGTCTGGAGAGAAGAAAGCTTGCAGCTGGCATTTAAGGAAAGATAAGAGAGAAAGTGGAGGTCAAGAGGCAGCCATCACTTATCTCCCACTGATGCCCTTTTCTCTGCTGCTGTAACCGTGCCAGGAGGACACCGCATTTCCAGAGATGGGCGGTTTCCAGGTGTCACCAGGACAAGGAAGAACTTAGCAACCACCATGGGGAGAGACCCATGCTGGGCTTAGCAGCCTAATTCAGATGTTGCACGAGGATGTTTTCATTTTCTTTGGCTCTAGGCTCAGCACTCAGGTGCGAGCCCCACACGCTGGGACAGAAGAGCATGCTATCCCAGCCCACTCCCTCCTGCGCACAAGAGCAGTAGCGAGGTTGCTAGGAGGATTTATTTGGAGGAAAGGACCAGCACAGGCACCTTTGAAGTTGCTGCTAATCCACGTACCACGGAAATGTTTGCAAATGCTCTGCGATGGGGCCTCCTGCCAGGGCCCAGGGCCGGGCCTGGCTACCTTCACCCACCCTCTGTTGGTGGAGGGCCCGGAACGCCCTCCTTGGAAACGAGCTCCATTACCAAACATCGTCGTTACCTCGGAGCAGCCTGGCTTGGTCTGCAGAACAGAGCTCTCACCCCTGGGCCGGTTGCCGTGGGTTGACGCAGGGAGAGGGTGCAGGCGTTGGTCGCTCAGGTAGGTCTGCGTGGGTCGGGGGCCCGGCTGCTTTACAGGGAAAAAGGATCTGCCTGTATGAACATTAATTCTCTGTTAGCTCAGATCCTATGTGATGGCAAATCAGAAACACGTCCACAAGTCCACTTTTTTTCCTCCAGCTTTTCCTGTCTGTATCTCTCTGTTATTCTTGTGTTGCATTCCAAGAGCTGTAACCCTTTTCAGACCAAGCCCATTTTTATTGTTAGGCAGAGCCCGGCACAACAGCGCCTGGATCCATGGTGATGTTGCTAGGCTGCCGCAATGATGCTGTAACGCTTTGTTTTGTTTTCCAGCAGGTCATGTCAGTTCATCCAGATCTTCACCAGCACTATGTGCGGACCTGCCAAAACTTGGGCCAATCTGAAAACCCCTTCATTACTCACGTGCTTCAAGAAGCTGAAAAAAATTATAAAATGTAAGGAAATAACAAACAGCGTGTTTCAGATGCTTCTGAAAGCCTTAAACAAGATAGCAGGACAAGGAATTAAACAATGAGAAAGTTCATGCAGTTTCAGGCTTAAACACAAATCATATTTAGCATTTACTGCAGAAGTTCTGGTTTGACTCATCTTGACATCATCTTGGCAGAAGTTTGTAGCTATATATCCTTTCTGGGCAGCTTTACAAGCAGTGCAATCAAAAAAAGTGAAAAATGTGCAGGATGGTGCCTTTGTGGCCCTCAGAGAAGCCAAACCCAGCATCTAGTCATGCTAACTCCCTTCCTTTTGTCTCACTCCTGTTTAAAAAGCCTCAGCTGCGTCCAGTTAGCTTCCAGCAGGTAATGCTTCCCTGGGCTGTCTCTGGATCCTGCCAAGGTATTAACCACTCAAGCTGTCTCTCACTATGTGGCTAGGTAAGGCTTCCTCTCATGGATGCTCCTGGGGTCAAAATTAATTGTTCTTTGGAGAGAAAACCTGAGAAAAGACAGCAAAGGGAAATGGTTTGTATTAGGTTTTGATCCCGAGGGCAGGATAGAGTAAATAAAACAAAGGGAACAATTAAAAAGGAGATGATGAAGTAACTTCTAGGATAGTCTCCTCTATTTCCATCTGTCTTCTGCTAATCTTGCTTCTTTCTGCTTTCTGTGTCCATCTGCTAAGCATGGTCTTGCAGCTCTGTGGTGTCTTCAGAATATCAGAAAGGCCAGTGCTGAGGTACAGCTTGAACCATGTGTCATGGTGTTACCAAAGGTAGTGGCAGCAGCTAACTAACTGCATGAAATCAGTGCATCAGTGAGGGCAAGCATGGATACGCCCCTCATCTAGAAAGAAAATTTGGTTTTTTGTATAATTTTACTTCTCCCCATGTGCTTACATTTCTATGTTACAGGGGATGGACAAAAGGGATCACACTAAAAATAGCTGGAAATAATCGTCTGGTGCCTGTGCAGAGAGTTACAGATGACAATCTTCAAGTTCTTACTTCTGTCTTACAGAATACTGGATTTGTCACAGGTTAGCTTTTTTCATGTATGTTTGACATTGCTGTGCTAACATGAGAAAACATAAGTAGTCTTGATTTCAGCCTTTTTGTAGATCAATTATTTGTAGATATGCATCTGTCACATTTTTCATTCTCCATCTTTCTCAGGTTTGGATCTTAGATGTAATGTATTGACTGATGCTGGAGCAAAGCACGTGGCAACATTTCTCCAGGTGCCAAAATTATGTTTATCATTCAGCAACTTGTAATTTATTTAGCTATGATTATATTTATCTGTGGTAAATTTGAGACAAGAATGCACTGGTTCGGCAAAATTCCATTCATTTTGACTTTCACATCCAAATCCATCCCACTAGAATCTCAGATTGTATTCTCTGGGGAGATTTTTAATTTCTGGTAGAAAACCATTTGACATTTGGCTAGGGTGTCATGAAGAAAGAACGGTAGAATAAACTGTGGAGCTTTTAGGCTTGAAGTTAATTCAACAAAGGTGGTAATGGTAGTGTCAGCTGTGCCAAGGCCTTTGTTTGATATACTTTATCATCTCTGTTAGTCTTTTTGTAGGCCTAAACATAGGAAACTTCAATGCTGCCTTTCTGACATTGTAAGCACCAGAATGGTGAGTGGCCACACAGTGCCTGTGTTCCTAGAGCTCAGGGAGTGCTACCAAGTTCCCAAAATGCCTGAAGATCTGCATCTGAGCTTGAGCACCTGCCTTGTTTGGTCATGCAGAGCACGTGGTTTCTGTAAGCCCCATGAGGACCTACACACTACGTGTTTTTCTGCCTTTCCATTATCATCTGATGTACTTTGGCATTCTTTAACTACTTCTCCAAATCAGGGGCTACCTGAAATGCAGCAAAGGTCAGAGGTTTTAACTACGTTTATGACGCATCTCCTTTTTGAAATATGCAGGTGTGCTTGGGAAAAAAGTCTCATTGCTTTTTGCTCTGTTTGTTCTGAAGGAAAACTCCACTCTGCGGTACCTTAACCTGATGTTTAATGATATTGGCACAAGTGGAGCAGAGCTGATAGCGAGAGCACTCTATGTGAGTATTTGTCTTGGATATTTAGACAATGGCATCTAGTTTGATATTTTTGCTTTTGATGAACAGTACTAGCTGTCCTGCCAACATCAGAGCTGGCTGAAAGGGCCCTCTGTCTTCAGTCCATTCAGCATTTTGCTAGGTCACAGGGCTTCAGGGATTGCTTGTTTTCCCAAGGCAGACTTCAGAAATCAGATTTCACACAGGAGAAAGTTGCACTGTGCTCCCATTAACACTTAATTATCAGAACTATCGCAGCTGGATTTTTTCTGTGTGAAAAATGCTATGCTGTGCTATAGGATATAGAATGCCATCATTTTTTCCTTTTTTTTTTTAAATGTATTAAATTTGCCTGTACCTTGATGTCAATATTTGTCTTGATCTAAGATGTCTGAGATGAGATGTGTTTTCAAAACTTTGCCTTACAGCAGCAGCATAAAAACAAGCTTGTTATTTTTAATGTGGTTTCCCAAGGAAATGAAGCTTGTGTGTGAGATTTGTTGCGTTTGTGAAACGAGACTCGTGCGAGCTAGTTCTTCCTCCTTCCTAGTCTTTGAACTCCGAAACTGACTTCAACTGAATTTGACAGGCCTCCAAAATGCTGAGGTTGTGCTGTAGATTGTACAACACCGGGCTTGCAAGCAACCCCAAAAGCTATTTGTGCAGGTGCATGGCAGGACCTGACCGGCCAGGCAGCCCCTTGGCTGTGGGAGGTCCCGGCTGTGGGGCCAGGCAGGGGGAGATCTGGGGGTGAAGGGGGTGTGATATTGAGGGAGGGAGAGGGAAGGAGATGCTGGGAAGGGGTACTGGGGACATCTGGAAGACATAAAACCCGTATGAAACCAGGCTTCACTAGTTCTGCTGGTCACAGAACTCCTTGTTTTGTAATCGCTTACTTATACAATCACTATCTGTGGTAATGAGCAATTATGGTGGTACTGAGGAATTAAAAATACAAAACTACTCTGCATTGCATTTAGGGCTTTAACAGTGAATAGATATTTCATATCCACTGAAATTCCATGGAGGATGAGGGGAAAGATGCTGACTTTTCCAGTCCTCTGATCAGAACTTTATATTGCCTGTGAAGTCTCTAGTGTCCAGCAAAGACTTACAAACTGGTTTGACTCTGCACCATGGAGTCCTACTGACGGCGACCGGCTTCACTGAACTTTGACTGGTCATGTGATTTTTAAAAGACTATGAAAAATAAAGCAAATTATATTCTTGATTAAAATACGTTTACTAGATTTAAATCAGTTTTGATATAATTTGCATTTCAGCTGGCAATTTAGGCAGAAATATCTGCCTGGATTATTTTCATGAGTGTGAAATTTGTGAACATGGGAGAAACAAGAGTTTTCAAACGCTCGAGTTTTCCTTCCAGACTCTCATGCAGTTGATTTCACTGAAGGGAGCCTAAGCCAAATTATTAGTCAGTGTTATCACTGAGACACAATTCTTCTGGAGGGATGTTTTGTCTTTGTGTGACAACCAGCAGGATTCACAGGAAAAAGGACAGTGTTGTTTTTCAGGCCATTTAAAAGGATTTTTCTTTTTAATTTTGTCTAGAGGAATGAAACTCTTGTGTATTTGAGAATGACTGGAAACAAAATAGGAAACAAAGGTGGGATGTTTTTTGCTTCAATGCTACAAATTAATTCAACCTTAGAGAAGCTGGATCTTGGAGACTGTGATATGGTGAGTAACCCAGTAAAATTAGCAGCAATGACATAAGTCTTTCAAGGGTATTACAAAGGTCCTGCAGTGCTTAATTAGGGGGAAATGCCATCTGTTGCCATTGATTTTACATTTTGTGGTAACTTGAGGTAAGACAATATATAATATTACAATGCATTCTTGGAAAGGCATGTGGCATGAAACATCTGTGAAGTCATAACTGATGATATATTAGAGCCACTATGTCCCTGGGAATTCAAGTGCTTGCCTTTCACATTTTCTGAGGTTTGTTTCTGCTGTTCATTTTTGTTATACTGTAACTCCTGTGCAATTCTTGTTGAAGAAAGGACTTCTTATTCCCTGGAGGTTCTTTTCCTTCTAAAGCGTGCAGTGCTATAAAGCCCAGAAGTCACTCAGTCCCATACCTCTGCTGCTCCTCTCAGAGCTCGACCCACACAAGGACATAGGCACAAGAGTGTTGATTTGAGTAGAAAGACACCCAATTTGATCTCAGATAACTTGCCACCTCCTTGAGTTGGGTGCTGAGACTTCTTACACAATGCACAGGGCAAGTCAGGAGGGTAGAAATGGGTAAATGTACTAAGCAGGGCGCTTCCCACTCTAACCAGTAGTGGATTGCCTTTAGAACCCTGTGGGGTACAGGAGGAGGTAGCAATTTGAGCTGTGAACCTCCTCCTGGTGCAAGGTCCCAGCCTGACAGATGGTGTGTCCGTGTGTGATCACATCAGAGGGGCTAGAAACTGGAAGTGCTTCTTCTCCCTACCTGGGAGAATTTGGTCCTTTTTCTTGCCTTCTGGGAGAATGCTCTTACCAAGCTAGAAGTGCAATTGAAGATGGGCCACTCTCAGCCTTCCTGTTCAAGGTGTTCATCTTTTCAGGAGATAATGAAGTGTATGTTGGGCAGAAGGAGTAAGTTTGACTGTAACCTAACAGTTATGGCTGGGGCGAGATGAAAATGTTAATATATTTGTTTTCTGGAATTACAGAATTTGCTCCTAAACTAGAAGGGGGAATACCTCTCAAACTGTGAAGGGTGTTATGAAAACATAAACTAAGTGTAGCCATTGTAGGAGTTATTTGAAAACTTAATATGTTTATGCTTGGTAGAAAGTTGATAGAAACCTGATTTAAAATGAAATAGCTTTGGGTGTAGACCAGCCTAATTGGAAAATAATGTAAATATAAATTAGTGAGCAAATGAGAAGGAAATACAAAAATCTGACTGGCCTGTGTTCTAGACTCTCACTACTCTGTACCACATTAACTCACATTTAGTATTAATTTACTTAGTGGATAAGTTACTCAAGACTTTTACTAAAGACCTTAGGGAACACACACAAGCTGATTTTAATTCAGAAATCAGGAAAACCAAAATACAGGAATAATTAAATGGACAAGTATCTTTTGAGATGCATTATTCCTGCTTTTTATTTTCTGACTTGCCAAATTTCCTGGTCATTTGTACTTCTTAGTCTAATTCCACTCCATTATTCCATCAGGAGTTGGCATTGGCATTATCGGAAAACACACTGCGTCTGTAAGCACTTGCCTACTGTGCTTGCATCTCTCCAGAGTACGTGGAAGCAGAAGTAATAGTATTTCCATTCTGAGCCCATTTGATGTTTTTGATCTTCGGACAATCAGTTCTAAGAAGTCATGGGAATTTGGTAGCTTGATCTATACGTTGGACGGATTTCTCTAAAGAGTGAATTTATTTTCATTTCCAGGGTACGCAGTGTCTCATAGCAATAGCAACAGCCCTGACTCAGAACAAATCAGTCAAAGCAATAAACCTAAATCGTCCTTTACTGTACAGCCAAGAGGTACGTAAGTAGACTGTAGTGTCAGTTCAGTCAAAGACAGAAGCATGAGTAAAGTCAGGACTGATGTATTTATGGACAGCAGAACTACACGGCGCTCTCAGTTTCCTTACAAAGTTGCAGAAAAATTCTTTTTCTTTTTTTCTGCCAAGTTTTGTGCAGTCACAGGCTGCCCCTGTTTAACTAGGAGGTTAATTTTGTAAAAATTTCTTTCTTGGTACGTATGCACTTGTTAAATAATGGGCTAATGGAGACGGCTTGGTATTGGTGAACCAAGTATTCCTTCTGCTGTTACAGCATGGAGAGGTTTATGTGTCCTTCAGCAAACTGAGGGAGAAATGCAGTTTAGCAGGAAATGAGGGGAAGAACAAAAGACTGCTGTTTATCTGAGCAGTGCCATACATGGGCAATTGCCAGAGCCCATAGCCTAAAGAAGAAAGGCACACTTCAACAATATGCCATATTCACTGGGCTGCAAGGTTTTGTCTATGTGACCTTGAAGCATGAATTTAACAATTTAACATTGATGAACCTCATCAACGTAAAACCTGTGATGAATTTGTTAGCCAAAACAAAGACACAAACCCTCCAAAACAAGTGAGCACTGAGAAGAGAATTGGCAAGGCAGTGTTTGCTGGGGGCAGCACCACAGGCCACTGGATGTGTACGGGCGCACAGAGCTGCGGGGTTTTTGCTTGCAGGCATGCTGTTTCTGCGCATCACCAGTGCTGCAGGGTTTTTGCTTGCAGGCATGCTGTTTCTGCGCATCACCAGTGCTGCGGGGTTTTTGCTTGCAGGCATGCTGTTTCTGCGCATCACCAGTGCTGCAGGAGCCACGGCTACAGAGCTGGCTGAGGTGGTGGTTTCACCAGACCCGCAGCAGTTGTCAGGTGTCTGTGGATAGGTACGGTATTTTCCTGATGGCAGGATAAAATGAAACTGTCATGAAGGTCAGGTCTTCCTAAATCCCCAAAAGTGAATTTAACAGTTTAAACAGATTTTTAGTTGTTTCTTTTCTAGTAAGACAGGGTTTAATCTGCCTAAACCCAGTTTTAGAAGTCAATTTAAACTACTGTTATTGCAAGTATGTACCAGTAAGGGCCTAGTCTATATTTTTGGGAGGCTCTTTTTTGTTTTTTTTTTGTTTGCTATTGTTCCCACCTTCAACTCCATCATTTTCTGAGGCCACTGCATTGTTGCCTTATTTTTGACTCACAATATTCTCTTGGTTATTTTCTTAACTAAATGTGACAAGTTCAAAATGAACTTACTTTGTCTTACAGCGACAGGACAGATTTTTTTCCCATAGCAATCCTGTTTCTTTTTATGAAATAACAGCTTAGTGTCATGACAAAATACTCTTAATGTTAGTGAAGACTGACTCAAACATTTGGGTTTTTTAAGAGCAATGACTGGGAGGAAAACTCATCAGACATAATGATTCAAACATTGGTGCTCCTGATATTTGCAGGGATGTATATAGTACTGGAAATCTGCAGATATCTTTCTGGTATTCTTCTTTTCAATTTTTTTTTTTTATTTTCAGCATTATAATATCATTTGCCAGTTATTTTTAATACAAAGCGGTAATATACAAAATAGAACACTACTGATGACCAAACTTTGCTGTTTGTTAGTTGTGCATTTCCCTTTGACTGAAGCAAGACCGTATCTTATCCTAAAGTACAGCTTAATAAAACTGAGTGTATGTTTTTAGGAGGAGACCACAATTCACGTAGCTCTGATGTTGAAAAAGAACTCTTCTCTTGTGGAACTACATTTGTGCAAGCACGAAATGAAAAACTTTGGTGTGGAGCGACTGTGTGAGGCATTGTATGAAAATTCCAGCCTGAGATACCTTGATCTGAGCTGGTAAGAGCTACTACGTGACATAGCCCTGACTAATATCAGACACTCATTTTCTTAGCACCTTTTAAAAAAAATGTGTGCATCTGTCTTTCAGTAATAAAATAACCTGTGATGGTGTAAAATTTTTGGGAGGACTACTAAAACGGAACCAAACCCTGGAAATCCTTGATCTCAGTGCAAACAGAATAGAAGATGATGGAGCCATCTACCTGAGTGAGGCCTTGGCTTTGTACAACAGGACTCTTCAGGCGTTAGTATTTACGTAACTTCCCCAGAAACTGCAGGTGTAATGACTCAAGAGTATGAGAAGCTCAGACTTTGCAGCGGCTGACCTGACATCACAACTGTGTGCTTTGATGTGACCGATCAAAATAGAAAAGTCAGGAAGTTTCAAACTTTTTAGTGCATTTTTCTTTCTCAGGAAAAAAAAAAAAGTGACCGACACATTGTGCGGGATTCCTTTGCCTAAGCATAGGCATCTCCTGCTGCTGGAGATGCCCCGAGACCTGTGAGACACCCTAGGGCACTGGCAGGTGGCCCACAGGTCCTTTCAGAGCCCTGCACCTTGGAGACCAGGCAGAGCAAATGGCACAGGAGGCCTGTGTTTGGGTAACCAAATTAAGTCCCCTGTAGCTTCACGTGAGCTGAAGGAGTAAAACACTAGGCCAAGACATTCAGTCCCACGTGCTAATGCCTCGTGTTCACCTTCCCACACTACCAGGCCTACTCATAACTCATTACCTTTTCCTTGTACTTCCTTTTTTATGTCTTGTGTCCATTGGTGCCTGACATACGCTTGTTCTTCTATTTCAGGGTTTTTTGGGTTGATGCCGAGATCACACTTGTAGTGGTTCATCTTACATGATTCACAGCTCTTACAGTCATTCTAAGGGGTGTGGTGGGGGGAAAGGCAATTAGATCTTATTAGTTCTTTTTGCATCTTTAAAGTATAGGTCCCTGTGGTGCAAAAGTGAAAACAGACCAAGAGCTGTACATCTTCAAAATTTAAAGATAACCACATGCTATGCAGGGATAAGGCACTATATTTGTTGATTCTGATCTTCAACACTTAAGAAAATCCTCTGTTTAAGTTCGCTGCTGGGTGAACCAAGAAGAGCTGTAATCTCTCCATCAGGGTGTATTTTGTAGCCCGCATTAAACCGTGTGCCAGCAGGATGTAAAAGCTGATCAAAGGTGTTACCTGAAGCCATTAGTTTTAAGTAGCAGACTGAGAAGGTGGCGGCTGCTAGGTGTCTCTGAAAGCTTTCCAGGTTCACTATAATATAAAAATACCTGCCACTCTACAAAGATCAAAGCCTTGCCTGGATAAATGCCAAGGCTTGGGCTTCAAAGCAGACTAGAGATGAGACCTGGCCACCATGCAGTTAAGTCACTGACACCAAAGAACTCGATAGCAAACAACAGGTCTTGCACGAGTCATGGAAATGCCCTGAGCAGGAGTACGAGTCCATAGGCCAAACTGCCTTTAGCAACCTGAAAAAGATTTT